TCTTTCTCCATCTTCGTCCTTGCTCTACCCCACCTCCACCCCGACTTTGTGTCTTATATTTGCAAATGAAAAGCCCCATCTGTCTTACATAACCCATCTGAGCTGAATGCCAGAGAAATCATATCTTAGTGTGCCAGTGATATATAATTCTTACACTCAGGTGTGCCAAAGTAAGGGCCCACTCTCTTTTGTTCTTGGTTTTGGATCAGAATATGCCCAGGTTTCTTGGAATGGAATTTTCACTCTTAATTTGTGCTTTCTTTTTTAATTTTATTTTATGTGTAAGAGTGTATTGCCTGTATGTATGTGAGCTCACCCGTGTCGGGTGCAATGCCCCAGAGGTCAGAAGAGGGCTTCGGATTCCCTTGGAACTGGAGTTAAGGATAGTTCGTAGCTGCCATGTGGGTGCTGGGAATCGAACCCAGGTCCTATGAGAGAGCAGTCAGTGCTCTTAACCACTGAGCCATCTCTCCAGCCCCTAATTTCTGTTTTCTTACACACTGCTTAGGAATGTCAAGTAGGGAGTTCTCTTTTTCTCAGTGATCAGAAATGCGTGGTTGTCTTCAACAAAATTAGTTGTTCAAAGCCTTTGCATGCAGTTTACACAGTGGACCATGGTATTCTCCAACAGGTTGATTCTCCTCAGGACTTTACTGTGGGTAAAAGCCGAAGCTAGGTTCTCACAGCAGGCAGCAATTAGCTTACTGGCCTCAAATCCAAGATTCTCTGAGTGGCAGTTGGGAGGCTTCATGGCTTCACTTGACAGCTTTACATCAGTGTACTCTAGTTTATTTTCTGAAATCTGTGGCCTTCTCAGATTCCTAATGTTGTTGAGGACTGCAGCGAGGTCTTGACAGCTACTGGGTGGTGATTATGTTCGGCTGATATGGGTGCCACTGGGTGCATGGGTGGGCAGTCTGGCTCTGCCCAGATGGGCAGCCAAGCCACCTCCTCACCATCTTGGCTCCCTGGCTATTTTCCTTCTTACTTGCTGAGTCCTGAGTACAGAATTTTGAGATCAAGAGAACAGCATTAAGACTCTTAATAAGATGAAGAAACCCCAGGTCATGCTGCTAGATCCTTGTGCTGAGAGTTGCTGTCACCATTGCTCCGGCTATTTTAGCTCTCTAATTGTTCTCTTTCTTACTTGTCATGTCCTGGGTTCAGAATTTTGAGATCAATATAGAAGCACCAATGGTGAGGGAAATAGTCATCTTGTGTGATAAGCTTCCTCCTGTGGTCCATTGGATCCATTCAGTCTCTTAGGAGCCTGGGTGCACCTCATTCTGCCACAATATTTTCTAAAAAAAACCCAAATTCTTATGCTTTTTAAGAATATCTTTTTATGGAGCTGGAGAGATGGCTCAGCAGTTAAGAACACTTGCTGTTCTTCCAGAGGACCCGGGCACAAATCCCAGCACCCTCATGGTGGCTAACAACCATCTGAACTCCAGTCCCAGGGGATCCGACATCCTCTTCTGGTCTCTACAGACATTGCACAACACAGGTGCACTTACATACATGCAGGCAAAACACTGACACACATAAAATAAAAATAATGAATAAAATATTTGAAAAAGATATTTTTATTACTTTAATTTGGAAAGTCTACTAGTGATTTTGACAACTTCAATATAGAAGAATTCATTATAATTTATATCTTAACTTTTGTTTTTTTAATTGAAGGAAAGGTTTATTTTGGCTCATAGCTTGAGAGTATAAGACATCATGATGGGACAAGTGGACAAGCCATCTTGTCACATCAGCCAGGAAGAGCCTCCAGACAGAGATTCATGCTTGTGGTTGGCTGGATTCTTTTCTCTATTTTCATTCAACCTTGGACCTGGGAAGGTACCATGTACTCTAGAGTGGATATATACAGTTACTTTTCTGTTGCTGTGATAAAACACTGTGACCAAGGGAACTTATAGGAAGAAGAGTTTGTCTGAGCTTACTGTTTCAGGTTCCAGAGGTTTAGGAGTTCATCATGTGGGGAGGCCATGGTGAGGTGGCTGGAGCAGGAGCAGAAAACAGAGTGCTCACATATTCAAGCAGGTGCCAGAAGCAGAGAGCGACTGGGGATCTGGCAAGGCTTAAGAGCTCTCTAAGCATGTCCCCCAGTGATGTGATTCCTCCAGCATGACCAAACCTTCTAAACTCTCCCAAAACAGCACCAACAACTGGGGACAAAATGTCCAAATATTTTGAGGCTACGGGGGACATTCTCATTCAAACCGCCACAATGGTCTTCCTTCTTCAGTAAGCCTCTCTAGAAATCCTCTCACAGAAACGCCAAGATGTGTGTCTCCTATGTGATTCCAAATCTGTTGACAATGAATATTAACCATTGTAAGTTCATCTCTTGTCAGCATGACACCCGAACATATTACTTATAACCATGGCATTCCACTCCTGGATCTCAAAAGCTCATAGCCATCTCATAATGCAAAATGCATTTAGCTAACCTGTATGAGTCTCCAAAATCTTAACAGTTTTAACAGTATTCAAAAGCTCATATTTCAAAGTCTCTTTTGAGACTCAAAGCAGTCTTTTATATGTTGGTTCCTAGAAGAAAAAGACAAAAAGACAAACAAAGAACGAGAAGAAGGAGGCATAGCAATGAAAGATTGGGCTAAAATAAGACAGGAACACTGCAGAGTAAACCCCAAATTTTATAGCTCTGTGCCCTGTATGGAATCATTTGGGCTCAGAAATCCTTGGGTAGCCCTCTCCCTTCAGCTCAGCTATCTGCAGTACACGTGACCCCTCTGTTGGGCCAGCTTCATTAATGCCTGCTTAACTTGGAAGATGTCCCGGGGTCCTGGCATCTCCAGTGTCTTGAGGTCTCCATTGAAACGGGCTTCACCGTTACAGCGTCATGCAGTGGCCCCTCATGTCCTTCTTGCAGGAAATACAATTCTGCCACATGTTGCCTTGCTTGAGTGGCTTTCTGGAACCTCGGTGCAGATCTTCACAACTCCCTTACTTTTGTATTTTGCATGCCTACAAAATCCTATATCTTAATTTGTATAGGCGGCTGTTTCTGTTGCTTTTTAGTTTTTGTCTCATGATTCTTAACAGTGGTAGTGATGTAGTTTTCTAGTTCAGTTAGATGTTTGTTCTGTGACATGCTGTGAGAAGGCAGGATAAATGTTGGTGTTGTTTTCTCTTTTATTTAGAATTTTATCATGTATGAGATAGTGATTGCATATTTAATGAGTTAAGGAGTTAGTCATGAAGCTATGGATAGATTAATAAAAAGCATTAGTACTTGTTTCTTTTAAATTTGATATTTTATTAACATTCACATTCTGATTTAAAGTTTTGTTTTATTTTTACTTTTTATTATAAGTGTATATTCATTGTACAAAATAGTGGGATTGCATGGCTGGGGAGGTCATAGGCTCTGGGAGGACCTTGCTGCTGTTGTTTAGCGAAATTGACATGGTGCCAAGCTGCATTCTAAATATTTATGTTTGTACCCATAGACCAATGCTGCTTCCAGCCTTGTTAGAGAAGCTTCTCTTAGTGGTGAAGAGCAGGGAAAGCAGAGACTCATGGCTACTCAAGATGTGGTGGTTGACTGCTCAGCCCTGAGCAGGATATTTATACCACACTCTTTAAGGTGCAAGAACTATCTTTGAAGAGCTGGATGATAGGGCCAAGGGTACAAAATGCTATCTTCAGGCCATGACAAAGACATTGCAACCTGATCTTACAGCAGTTGTGGTTGTTGGTATTGAGCCTGTATAAAACTGGGCCTGTCATGTCAGTCATGGATCCTGGAGGGGCTCATGGGGCCCTACCCTGATCCCCTGCTTAACCATTGGTTACTGGGATTCTGGAGGAGTGGCAGACATCGTCTTCAGTTGTATACTAAACAGTGAGTCCATCAGGTTCCAATGGGTAGTTGCAAACCTGTGGTTCACACAGACAATCCTAGTCAAACTCAGAGGCTCACAAAACAAAACAAAACAAAGCAAGACGTGTGTGGGACGTAGACTTAAGGAGAGGTGTGTAAGGGAGATAAGACAGGATGGGGTGAGAATACTCAGAATCCCCCTGTTCTTCTCAAATAGATCTCCTTCTCCATTTGAGCGATTGTTTTTTTTGTTATTTTTAAGTTGAATTTCATATAACATATTTTGATTATCTCAATACCTTTCCCCACTTACTAATTCCCCACCCAATTTCATGCACTCTATTTTACATATATGTAAAATTATATATGTTGATAAAAATATATAGAACAAATACATATAAATATATGAAAACCTATAGATTCAAATTTGTGACCCCATATGCCCTTTGGTGTGGGTTCATCCCACTGGTGCTTGATTAAACCTACCAAGAGTCTCACCCTTAAATGAAACTGACTCTCTCTGTCCCAGCAGCCATCAGTTTTCAATAGTCTTCACAGGTAACAGGCCATAGGGGAGAGCCCAATACTATTATTCTCCTAAATAGATACAGTGTTCAACTGATTGTTTAAGTCTAGATTCCGCATATGAAAGCAAGCAAGCAATATTAATCTTTCTGAGTCTGACTTATTTCACTTAACATAATGATCTCCAGTTCTATCAATTTTCTTGCAAATGATATAGTTTTGTTCTTCTTCTGGACTCAGTAAAACTCCACTGTGTATTATGCCATGTTTCTCTTTCCATTCATCTGTTGATAAACCCCCTAGGTTGATTCAATCCCATAATTTGGCTACTCAATCCTATAACATGCCACAGTAAACATGGCTGTAACTTGCATTTTTTATGAAGCTGGATGTAATAAAATTTTGTTTCACATAGAAGCTTATTAATACAAAATCAATAAATAATCATCTACACAAGAAGTAAAAATAAGCAAGCTTATTAAAAAGCTGTAGATGTAAGATGTTTTGATAACTTTTATTTAAATGGATTTTAGATTTGGAAAAATTTATTTTATGTACTTAGTGATATATGCTTTGGGGAGCCAAGCTCTTATGAAAACTTCAATCATGAATTTCAGCACTCTAAGGCAATTCTTTTGACTGAGTCACTGAAGGCCTGTTTGACTTGCTTGTTCCTCAAGGTGTAAATGAAGGGGTTCAGCATGGGAGCGATGGATGTAGTTAGCACTAGCACACCCTTATTAATGGCCACTGAGTCCTTTGTGGAAGGTTTGACATAGATGAAGATGCAGCTGCTGTAGGTGATAGAAACCACAATCATGTGGGAAGAACAGGTAGAAAAGGCCTTTTTCCTTTGTTGGGCAGAAGGGAATCTTATGATTGTCTTCATTATGTATACGTAGGAAAGCACTACACAAAGAAGGGTTGTGATGAAGGTCAACACAGCACAGCCTATGACCATCTGCTCAATGACCCATGTGTCTGAGCATGAGATCTTCAGGAAGGGAGACACATCACAAAGAAAGCTATCAATGACATTAGAATCACAGAATTCTAGATTTTGACTCAGGATGAATGGTGGGAGTATGATAAATAAGCCAGCCACCCAACAGCAAGCAACAAGTCTTCTGCAGGCTGTGTTGCTCATGATGGTGGTGTAATGCAGGGGCTTGCAGATGGCCACGTAGCGGTCATAGGACATGGTGGCCAGGAGGACAAATTCAGTTACTCCAAAAGGATCAGTGAAGAATGCTTGACTGGCACAAGCACAGTAGGTAATAGTCTTGTCACCTGTTGAAAGATTATACAAGTATCTAGGAATACAAGCTGATGTGAATAAGATTTCTAAGAAGGAAAAGTTTTGTAGGAAAAAGTACATTGGTGTTTTAAGGTGAGGATCCATTAACGTAAGTGAGATAATTGTCAAGTTCCCAGTTATATTCAACAAGTAGGTAAAAAGAAGAAAAATCAAAAGCAGACTTTGAATTTGTGGATCTTCCATTAGTCCCAAGAGAACGAATGCTGTTGTTGTGTGGTTTCTCATAGTGACTCCAGATTTTTGTATAGTGAAAACAAATCAGGTGTTCTATCAGAATGGGGGGAGGCTAAAATTCCACAGTGATGAATCATGAAAAATAAACAAATAGCTGGTCACATGAAATTTATTCTTTGTCTTGGTAATTAATATTGCCGGTATTCTCACAGGCTTTTGGGTTTAGGTATTTTGTAATTTTTGAAGATAAATTTCTTATAGATCAATTTAACTGTTTTATAACCTACAGATATTACCTCTATATTTCATTTTTCAAATGCATTTAAAATTTTTGTCTATGTTCTAAATTGGTTTTCATTGATGATTCAGTCACTATCAAGATTTTCTTTTATTCCCATGCATTCTTTTCTACTTGAAGTTGAAATCTTAAAGTTCAGTAATACTTTTATATCTTCCTTGTAGCTTGGTCCTTAATAAAACATAGCAAATGGTTTGGACTTCCTAAGAGGCTCTCCAAAAATCCACTATCAGTGATAATTTCATGTCCTTACTCTATTACAGAATAATTATTTGCTCATTTTGTGCATACTTGGTATGTATGCAGCAATTCTTATGATTTCAAATAGAATCTAACTTAGGATTCATTCGCAGTTTTGGAAATCAAGCCCAGGGCCTTGTGTGTGCTAGGTGAGTGTTCCACCACTAGGTTTCAAATAGAATTATATATGATAACCCTTCCATCTGTATATCTAGCAGCAATCTCTTCTGAAATTCAGATTATATACAGCTCATACACATCATATTAAGCACACAAAATTTATTTCATGGACTCTGTATTCCTCTCTCTTCTCATGCATTCCCTCTAATAAAGCTGGACATTGGACTCACACAGTTCAAAGAAAGCCCCTGTTGGAAGTAGTATCTCCCCCAAGCGTTTCCCTTTTCTCCTGGATCTTTCTCCAAGGGTCATTGAATTCAACTCGAGGATACCAGTGTTTCTTTGATTTTCAACCTAAGCATGGTTTGTTTTTGGAAATCCTTTTGGCCCTTGTAAAAAAAAAGCCAGGTGTGGTGGCCCAAACCTGCAATCCCAGAGCTGGAAAGGTACAGACGGGGGAACCCCTGAGCCTTGCTGGCCAGTTAGGCTAGCTGAACCAGTGACCTTTAGGTTCAGTGAGAAACCTTGCCTCAAAAAAAAAAGGTGGAGAGCAATTGAGGAAGGTACCTAACATCAACCTCTGGCTTTTGCACACATGTACACTCATGACCATGTGCACTTCTACACATGCATATTTGTATACACACAAACATGTACATACATATATCATAAACAAATACAATACTGAGTTTGGGTCAGTAGCTCATTTGTAGTGTTTTTCTCTCTTTTATCACAACTTAGTTATAATATCCACCAGCTGAATATTTTGGTCAGTGTCTCTAGGGCTTGCTATTTTTCTTACATCAATGAATGAAAGATTTCTCTGGAGACTCTAGTGAGATAGGTGCAAGAATGATTTCCATGCATTGACTGATGAAAATACTCCCTTCTAGGCCATCAAGATGGCTCAACCAGTAAAAAGACACGGTGGAGAGCAATTGAGGAAGGTACCTAACATCAACCTCTGGCTTTTGCACACATGTACACTCATGACCATGTGCACTTCTACACATGCATATTTGTATACACACAAACATGTACATACATATATCATAAACAAATACAATACTGAGTTTGGGTCAGTAGCTCATTTGTAGTGTTTTTCTCTCTTTTATCACAACTTAGTTATAATATCCACCAGCTGAATATTTTGGTCAGTGTCTCTAGGGCTTGCTATTTTTCTTACATCAATGAATGAAAGATTTCTCTGGAGACTCTAGTGAGATAGGTGCAAGAATGATTTCAATGCATTGACTGATGAAAATACTCCCTTCTAGGCCATCAAGATGGCTCAACCAGTAAAAAGACACCTGCTTCCAAGCCTGATGACCTGAGTTTGATTCTTGAGGGTACATGGTAGAAAGAGAACTGACTTCTTCAAATTGTCTTCTAACCACCACACATGAGGTGTGGTATATGTGTAACTCCCCAACATAAAATTAAATATGCCATAAAAATGATGAAAATCAATTTTTACTAAGATGAGTACAAAGTCAATTTCAACCATGGGTCAAATTCTCATATTTATGTCATCCTCTCAGAGAAGTCTCATTAACCAAGATCCTGGTTTTTATAGAAACCAGGAGTATAAAACGTAGTCACACAGAATGATCTCAATGGATCACTTTAAGATGCAGTGACAACCCACCTTAGGAACTCACCTGTCTCTTTTGAATACCATTCTTGTCAGCTCACAGACACCAAATACTTCACCATGGTGTTAAACTCAACCCTGCACAATTTGGGAGCATTAATGAGTCTAGGAATGTTATTGCAGCAATTGTAAATGCCTTCATTCCATTATTCTAAGAAACCCATCTTTTCTCTACAGTTGGTGTCAAGTTTGGGTAGAATAATTGACTCTGAGGTATGGAAAATCTTATCTTACTTTTTGAACAATTTACATGTGTGGTGTACACAAGAGATGTCCCTACATTCCTCTAGTTTTAGAGTAGCACCTGCTGCTCCTGCATGACTGATTCTATGACCTTTAGTGGCCTCTAAATGGCTGTTATGCATGTCTTAATGGACCCACTGGCAGAACTCTCAGGCCTTTCAAAGTTAACCACAATTTCTATTCACTATGCAACTATGAAAACTGATAATGACACAAAATTGAAAATGCAGGTGCATTTGAGATATGTGGAGATATTGTGGTTTTTACCAAGTATGTTCTTAGGCAGCTCTGGGAAATCATAGAGTTTTCTATTAGCAATAGCGAGCAAAGTGTCTCCTCAATAGAGTTTTACACACACACACACACACACACACACACACA